TGCAGAAGAAGCTTTTGGCATGAAACCCCACTCTGAGCGCCTGGCCCAGGACGCAGAGGGGCTGGAGGAGGGGAGCCAGGGGAGCTGGTGGAGCTGAGGGCCTGGTGTGGCCCTTCACCCTCCACTAAGGGGAGCCAGTGGGTCAGCAAGATCCACTGTGCCCTGCAGCTGTCTTCAGGGACAAGGGACCACCACGTCACCTCCACTTTCCAGATCTCCCACAGATGTCTCTGCTGGCCGAGTGTGGCTTGGAAACACCTAGCTAGGGGATTCTGGGAAACGTAGCTCCAGCTGACCCTTGTGGACACACTACACAGCTATCAGGGGTGGTAGGTTGTTTTTTGTTTTTTTGAGTTTTTTGCATTTTACAGGTGCTTAGAGGGAGGGAGGTTCGGTGACTTGCCCAGAGTCGCACAGTTATTAAGTTAGCCTTCTGCTTGGGTGCCCTCAATTATCATGCGATGCTTCTACTTTATTACATCAGGAACTCCCTGCCCAGTTCCTCCAGTATTCCAGTCCATGGAAAGCTTCTCCAAGGTAAAGGGTGGGTCCTGAGCACTCCTTCACCCTTGTTAAGTCACCACGGACACCAACCACAGTTTCTCTTATGCTTCTTTACATTGCCCCTCGTGTGGCTTTCTCTAGGTAATGAATTCCCTGTTTCCTGTATAGGAGCACTACCATGCTGTGTTTGGGGCTCACCATTAGCACCTAATATGGCTGTTTGGTGAGATAAGTTAGCTTGTGGATAATCCATCATGTGCCTTTAACAACAGTTACTACATTCAACTGCATACTAGCTGCCTGCCAGGGGACTGTGGAAGAGAAAATTGAGATCTGAGAGCCTCAGTTTGTCTCCCCAGTGAGAAGTGGAGTCTAGTTTGAGCAAAGATCTGCTGGTGCCTCACTGCCATTTGTCAGCCAAGCCTGCGTTCAGCAGTGAGCTCCCCAGGTGAGCAGAGCCAGGGGAGGACCAGCAAAGCCCACTGACTCTTCTCGAGATGCATCTGGGGGTGGGAGGGCTACCCCAAATCCCAGCTCCCTGGGGCTTAGATGGGGTGAACACAGTCTTTCTCTGTCTCTGAAAAGGTAGGGATAAGGGTTTTGTGGGCAGATTGGGTGGAGCTAGAAAGGTTTCAGGCATGGGGTGAGCACGGTGAGAATTCAGCTCCTCAATCTGGGGTCTCACCGTACTTAATGACTGTCTCAATCTCCTAGTTTAGGCTTTTTGAATCCTGTCTTCATGTGGGTCTGTGTTTGTATGTGTTTCCTTATCGCATTTGCATTTTTTCTTATGCATCGTTGTTGTTGTTCAGTTGCTCAGTTGTGTCCCACTCTTTGCGACCTCATGGACCTCAGCACACCAGGCTTCCCTGTCCTTCACCATCTCCCTGAGTTTGGTCAAACTCATGTCCAGTGAATCAGTGATGCCATTCAATTATCTTATCCTCTGTTGCCCCCTTCTCCTCTTGCCCTTGGTCTTTCCCAGCATAAGGGTTTTTTTTTTTTTTTTTAATGAGTCAGCTCTTCACATCAGATAGCCAAAATATTGGAGCGTCAGCTTCAGCATCAGTCCTTCCAATGAATATTAAGGGTCGATTTCCTTTAGGATTGATTGGGTTGATTTCCTTGCTGTCCAAGGGACTCTCAAGAGTCTTCTCCAGCAACACAGTTCAAAAGCATCAGTTCTTTGGTGCTCAGCCTTCTTTATGGTCCAACTCTCACATCTGTACATGACTATTGGAAAAATCATACCTTTGACCCTATAGACCTTTGTTGGCAAAGTGATGTCTCTGCTTTTTAATACACTGTCTAGGCTTGTCATAGCTTTTCTTCCAAGGAGCAAGTGTCTTTTAATTTCATGGTTGCACTCTGGGTCTGCAGTGATTTTGGAGCCCAAGAAAATAAAGTTTGTCATAGTTTCCCCATCTATTTGCTAAGAAGTGATGGGACCAGGTGCCGTGATCTTCGTTTATTGAAAGTTGAATTTTAAGTCAGCTTTTTCACTCTCTCCTTTCACCTTCATCAGGAGGCTCTTTAGTTCCTCTTCACTTTCTGCCATTAGAGTGGTTATTGATATTTCTCCCAGCTGTCTTGATTCCAGCTTGAGCTTCATCCAGCCAGGCATTTCCCATGATGCCCTCTGCATGGAAGTTAAACAGGATGACATTATACAGCTTTGATGTACTCCTTTCCCAATTTTGAACTAGTCCACTGTTCCATGTCTGGTTCTAGTTATTGCTACCATCTCGCTTAATTAGACTGAGTTCCCCCATGAAGAAAGCTTTGATTTGCGGAGTGGGGGGGGGTCCTTCCCCAACACCACCCCTAACCCCCTGTTATGTAACCTCATGCACAGCAGGGACTTGGGATCTGCCAAGAGGCCAGGTTTGGCATAGTCCATACTGATCTTTTGAGGAACTGAAACTTTGATATGGTGACTGTTCTAAAAAACTGCAAAATTTGGGATAGTTTTAGATTTATGCATCAGTTACAAAGACAGGGTTTCCCTGATAGCTCAGTTGGTAAAGAATCCACCTACAATGAAGGAGACCCTGGTTCAATTCCTGGGTTGGGAAGATCAGCTGGAGAAGTGATAGGCTAGCCACTCCAGTATTCTGGCCTGCAGAATCCCATGGACTGTATAGTCCATGGGGTCACAAAGAGTTGGATATAACTGAGCGACTTTCACTTCACTTACAAAGACATTACAGAGAGGTCCCATATGCCCTTCCTCCAGCCTTCCTTGATATTAACATCTCATGCAGATAGCCAAGGTGCCTTTACTCACACTACGAGATGACGATGATGATGTTCAGTTACTGAGCCGTGTCCAGCTCTTCGCGACCCCATGGACTGTAGCCCGCCAGGTTCCTCTGTCCATGGGATTTCCCAGGCAAGAATACTGGAGTGGGGTTGCCATTTACTCCTCCAGGGGATCTTCCCAAACCAGGGATCCGACTCGCATCTCCTCCATTGGCAGGTGTGTTCTTTACCTCTGAGCCACCTGGAAAGAACACTATGAGATGACAACACTGTTAACAGAACTGCAGCCTCTGCACTGACTTCCCCAGATTTCCTGCTGATGACCTTTGCTGTCTCTGTGGCATTTTAGCCTCATGTCTCCTTCGCCTCCAACCTGGGACAGTGTCTCAGTGGTTCCTGTCTTTCATGATCTTGACATGTATGAAAAGTAGTGCTCAGGTGTTTTATAGACCGTCCTCAATACTGTTTATGGTTTTTCACAATTCAGCTGAGGTTATGGATTTGGGGTAGGACATGCAGAAGCGTCCTTCTCACGTCGCATCCTATCCAGAGGCACGTGGTAGCAGTATCATTGAGTGTGGACATGCTCACCTTGCTCACTCGCCTGGTTTCTACCCTCTAAAGTTATGCTCGGGTTGGTCAAGAAGTTTGTTTGGGTTTCTCTTTAAAATGTTATGGAAAAACCCAAATGAACTTTCTGGCGAAACTTGTTTTTCCTCTTTTCTGTATTCTGTTAGATTTGAGTCAGGAGTTGAGCTGACATGCAAAGGACCAGGGGATTAGGCTGTGCCTTTTGGGGGTGGGGCGCAGTGAAGGATTTGTGGACATAAGTTAAAGCCAACCGCCACTGGTCAGTGTTGTGGAGGAGGTGCTTTGCAGATACCCTGTTTCCAGCGAGGTGAGTTTTCAAATCAGTTTACTCAGGTTTGAACCTGGGAAGCAGGCTGTCTTCCTAGCTTTCTGTTACTTGGTTATTTGAATAATAAAATGCTTAAGGAATTCTGTTCTTTGAGTATGTGTATGTGCATGCTCAGTTGTGTCCAACTCTTTGTGATCTCATGAACTATAGCTCACCAAGCTCCTCTGTCCATGGGGATTTTCCAGGCAAGAATACTGGGGTGGGTTGCTATTTCCTTCTCCAGGGATCTTCCTGTCCCAGGGATTGAACTTGCATCTCTTGCTTCTCCTGCAGTGGCAGGCAGATTCTTTACCACTGCGCCACTTAGGAAACCCATTCTTCAAGTACATATGATGCTTTATCAGATTTCTGCTGGCAGTGGCATTTTCATATTGGGGGATCTGGAGCCTGTGTCTCATGGGAGTGATGCCTGGGAGCCCTAAGCTGAGAGTTTCCATGGGCCCTGCTGTTAGGCAGCAGGTACAGTGCTACTCACTTTTGCATGTGATTCACTCTCTTGCTTCCAAAGGTGAGCTAACAACTTGGAGGCAGTGCTAAGATAACATCAACAGCAAGCTATATTTTTAGATGCTTTGTCCCACCTTGAAGGCTATATTTGAACTTCCAGCTGCTTGTATGAAGTTGAGGAAAGAATATGGCTAGAAGTAGCCATATTGACCAGTTATAATTGACCCTGTGGCAAGTTCAGTTGGCCCTGTTCTCAAGCTGGTGGTCTACTTACATGTTCCCAACTTTGCAATCAGCTGCTTTTTGACTTACCCTTGGAAAACTCTACATAGAAGTTACTGTTGTTAGCACTTTGACCAACTCTGTTATTGATCGGTGATTGCCAACCATTTTGGCAGAATAGTGGGAAGGGAAATCTCCTACAGGAAAAGAATCTGTAATGGGTTTCTGAGGTTTCTAAAGAAATATAAATCTGGATTATGTGTTTCTGATCATCCTTTTCAGTTTCCAGTGACACAGGTAACTGAGGTATAAAAGCAAGCGATATACTCCCACCTGGTGGCAGCATCAGTCACTAAGTGACTCTGCCACCCCATGGACTGCAGCCCACCAGGCTCCTCTGTCCACGGGGTTTCCCGGGCAAGAATACTGGAGTGAGCTGCCATGCCCTCCTCCAGGGGATCTTCCCCACCCAGGGATCAAACCCACATCTCCTGCCTTGGTGAGCAGACTCCTTACTGCTGAGCCACCAGGTAAGCTGGAGTGGCAGCGTACTCAACTGTTAACTCTGGGAGCGAAGGCCAGTGGTGTGCCGATCATCTGCTCTGGCATGAGCAGACCCACTGAAATCTGGAACTTCCTCTTCTAGGATGACTTCCTGTTCAGCGTCTCCATTTTAAGTGGGATCCTGTGCAGCATCCTGGCTGTGCTGAAGTTCATGCTGGGGAAGGTTCTGACCAGCAGAGCTCTCATAACAGACGGTGAGTAAGGCCCGTGTGCCTGGCCTCTGGGGGCTGAGCTCACGGTGGGGGAAGGTGCTGTGTGCGTCTCTTTCAGCTGCTCGTCTTGCAGAAGAGTGCACCAGCCTGCAGTCTGTTCCCCACTGTCCTCCCTTCCCCAGGCTGTGTCATGATTCTCAGGGTTCCCTATCAGGGCAGATGTTCTGTGTCTGGGAATTGAAGATGCTCATCCTAAAGCACCTCCACCTGGACCTCCTAACAGGGTAACTCAGGGCTTCCCTCCAATCAGAGAGCACAAAGGGCTTCCCAGAGTCTTGTGTTGGTTGTGTATCACTCCAAATAAAAAGTAAGCATCTTCCCTGGATCCTATGACGGTCTGGTGCGTGCTCCACACCCATTTCCCCCTTACCTGGGAGCTCAGGTTGCAGTGACTAGGGCTTCACTGGGGAAACGAGCCACGTGTACTCTGCTCAAGACTGGAACCAGGTCGATGTGTCCCCCTGTGTCCTGTGGGTCAGGAGGAGCCTCCTGTGTGGCCATGGGGCTGACGGAGAAGGGTGAGTGAAAGTAGGAAAAGCACTTTTCAGTTTTTGCAAACTAGTGCTGGCGTGTAAACTAGAAACGTGATGAACACAACCTCCCGGCTGTTTTCTTTCTCTTTATCCCAGAGCGTGTGAAGTTTCTGAGGGTCGGGAGCAGAGACGTGCGCCCCAGTGCCCTGGGGTGGGAGGTCACAGGTCCTAGCTGGTGGGCTGGTGGATGTGCCTGCATAAAGTAGAGCACAGATCGTAGGATTTTTTGTTCCCCTCCTCGGCCACACCACGAGGCTTGTGGCATCTTAGTTCCCTGACCAGCGATTGAACCCAGGTCCCTGGCAGTGAGAGCGCTGAATCCTAACCATAGACCTCCAGGGAACTGCCATGATTTCTTTTTAAAGAACCACTCCCAGCTCCTCAGACTCTCAGAGTTCTCTTCTATGTGAAATATGTGGGTGCAAAAGCCTGTGGGTGGCTGCTTTTCCTTAAACATGAGGAACAGGAAGGCGGGCCTCGGGGGAGGCTGCACTGGTCAACACAGTGTACATGCTCAGTCACTCCAGTCGTGTCCAGCTTTTTGCGACCCTGTGGGCTGTAGCCTGCCAGGCTCCTCTATCCATGGAATTGTCCAGGTAAGAATACTGGAGCGGGTTGCCATTTCCTCCTCCAAGGGATCTTCGCTACCCAGGGATTGAACCCATGTCTCTTATGTCTCCTGCATTGACAGGCGGGTTCTTTACCACTAGTATCACCTGGGAAGCCCTGCGTTATTCCCGTAAGTCTGTTGTATGTTACACCCTTAAGTCACAGAGTCTCTGTGCTGATAGAGCATCAGCACTTTCTCTGTTCAGTTGACTACAGCTGAGATGCTGGATCGGAAGCCCCAGCAGTCAGACCATGCTCCCCCAGCTGCCAGGCAGGAGGCCCTGTCCCCTTCCCACCCATGACCCTGAGGCTTGACCCCCTTCTTCTCAGAATAGTGGAACCTCTCCCATGACAGGCGGCCTTCCTTAATATTTTGAGAGAAGCCCCTGATGATAAGTATGTGTTTTCTAATGAAGTGACTCTGGATTCTATAGTTTTCACCTACAAAACCATCCAAACACGTAAGTGGTCTTCCCATCTGCCTCCTTGAACCTCAGGAAGGGGTCATTACAAGGAGGAGTGAATAGTTTAAGGGAAAATTGTCCCACAAACAGGCAAAGTGGAGACAGGCACTCCTCAGGCAGAGGGAACCGAGGTGGGAGGGAGCCTTCAGCCTTGGTAGGGGGTGGGGGTGGGGCTGTTGTGAGGAAGGGTCACAGGGTGAGGGGCCCTGCCAAGTGGGCAAGGGTGGACCATTCGGTATGCTAGGTCAAGCGTGGGATTTTGGATATTTTGTTAAATATTTAAACAGATGAGGTGGTGACATGGTGGATGTTTTTAAATGATCCTTCTGGCCATCAAGGTGGAGAACAGAGCAGAGAAACTTCTGGGAGGGAGAGGCCTCTGGGGAGCCCAGGGGTGGTGGCCTCAGTGGGTGAGGGCAGAGGGGTGGGATGTGGGGGAACTGAGGAAATGTCGGTGATGTTTATAAAATGGGCAGAGCAGGGACAAACAGGCTGTGGAGGTTGAGGAGAGACAGAGCAAGGCTGTTGCAAAGAGAGGAGGCAGCACCCCCCCACCCCAAGCCTGCCCATGAACTCGTTGCCTGGGGGTCAGGGGGGAGGTTTGGCGCACTCTGCAATCCCTCACTTAGTGGGAGTATCAGCAAAATATGCAGCAGTAATTACAGCCTCCTGCTAATTGCATTGTCTGGGATCCTGATTTTCCTCATTCATTGATTAGCAGAGCCATCTGTAATTATGTCCTCACTTGGGGAGGTAGGCGGTAGGCTAGGGCTCAGGAGCCCAGCCTGCTATTTATGTTGGTTTGGCCCAGGGCAGGGGAGCAGGCCAAGTGCTTTCTCTCCAAGAAGGAAGCAAGTCTAGCAAATTGCTTCTGGTGCCGAGAGGCCAGGCGGGTCTCACCTGTCACCTGGTGAGGTGGCTGATTCCCAAGCTGGCGTTGTGTGTGAAATGGGTGGGGCCGTGTGTGCACTGGGCCAGGCTGACTCCACCAGATCCGGTGTCCCTGGGTCCTGTCCTTACAGTCAGGAAGCATATCTTCAGGGGGAGGGAGGGAGCAGGGTGCAGGTGGAGTCCAGACTTCCCCACGCTGTGCAGGAAATCGTGTTTAATTGGGTTTTCTTGCTCTGGATATTTAGTGATGTGATAGCATGCAATCATGGCTATCAGGACTAGGCTGAAGCTGGCTTTCTATTATTTAAGACAAAATGATTTTGTTCAGGAAGTTAATCCTACAGATCAGACAGAGGAAGATTGTGGCAAGGTCCGTGGAGGGAGTTCTGAACCCTTGAGGGGCTCCAGAGCTGCCCACAGGACAGCTGGAAACCTCTCTGAGTTGTGGGGCCGGGGCTGACTCGACCCAGAGCCTGTGGTGGTTTTCAAGTACACGAACAACTTTGAATCAGAATTTTCTGCATAAAATCAATATGTGCTTAATTATATAGATGCTTATCTAGTCATTAAAGCGAGATCGTTAAAGCCCCTAAACAAGATTGCCTCAGACGTTCTTATGTGCTCCGAGGTGATGACAGCATTTACTTTTTGCAGCTGCTCTGTTTGTTTGTTTGTTTTAATTAATGTATTTTAATTGGAGGCTAATTACTTTACAATATTGTAGTGGTTTTTGCCATGCATTGACATGAATCAGCCATGGGTGTACATGTGTTCCCCATCCTGAACCCCCCTCCCGCCTCCCTCCCCATCCCATCCCTCTGGGTCATCCCAGTGAACCAGCCCTGAACAGCCTGTCTCATGCATCGAACCTGGACTGGTGGTCTGTTTCACATATGGTAATATACATGTTTCAGTGATATTCTCTCAGATCATCCCACCCTAGCCTTTTGACAGAGGACACGGGAACGAGCTTATGGGCATGGGAGGTGGGGGTGGGCCCCCGGAGGTGAGGGACTGATGGGGCCCTGTGGGCTGCTTTGGTAAGCTGGGAGGTCTGCGGGGTGGGGCTGTGAGCTTAGGGTCCTTCATGGGGAATGGCTGTAGCTGAGGAGGCTCTAGAATCCTGGAGGATGTGGAAGGGCAGATACAGAATTGTCCCCTGGTCCCGGTGTGCTGGTTCCAGTGTTTCTGCCAGGCTCACAAGAGGTGCAGCTGAAATAAGCTATAACTAAAGGTGGGCGGAGAAGGTCAGATGCTCCTGGAGGGGATGGGTGAATGAGGTGAAAAGTTCCATCAGCTGTAGGGGCGCGTGGGTTCCCCCACTGTCCTGGACTGGCTGAGCCCAGTGATTTGGTGGAGTGAGTAGACATCTAGTGGCCGTCTGGGGGAACCTCACTGCCTACACTGAGCTCCAGCGGGCTTGCTGAAGGCTCCGGGGCCACTGTGCCCCTGACGAGGGTGGAGAAAGAGGGGTGTGGGATTCTAGTCTGCCGGGGGCAGCGGCCATCTCCTTCCTATCGCTGCCTTTCCCCGGTCACCCCTCAAAACAGAACTTCCCCAACTTTGAGGATGCTTGAGAGGTAAACGCCAGCCCAGGTAGCCCCTGGACAGAGTAATGGCTTCTGTGGATGCTCTGTGTGGCCCTCTGTGAGAAGATGTGGGCTCCGGAGACTTTTTTGAAAAGAAGACTGGTCTGATTCTGTGCATGCTTGTGTGGTTAAGTCGCTTCAGTCGTGTCCGACTCTTTGTGACCCTATGGACAGTAGCCCCCCAGGCTCCTTTGTCCGTGGAATTCTCCAGGCAAGAATTTTGGAGTGGGTTGCATGCCCTTCTCCAGGGCATCTTCCCAACCCAGGGATCTAACTTGTCTCCAGCACTTCCTACATTGGCAGGCGGGTTCTTTACCACTAGCACCATCTAGAGTCTGATTCCATGTGTTATTAATAAAAAGAATACGAGGGACAGCCAGAGGCAAGAGGGTGAATGCCAGCCTCTTATAACGGGAGAGAGGAAACACTGTGATGATCCTGATGTGTCAGAAGACAGGAGGGAATTACGACCTTGCCGTTCTGAGTGAACCTGCTATCCCCCTATCTGGGGAGACTGGAGGCAGAATGGAGGGTGTGATGTGTAGAGGCTGAAACCAGGGGTGGGTCAGAGAGGGAGGAAGTTCCAGGTGCCCCACATGCTAGGAGCTGGGAAAGACTCGGCTGGCACCCAGCTTCCCATGAGGTGACAGAAGGCTGGAGGGGCATCAGCTCCATGAGCTGCGTGGAGAACATAGACAGAAGGCAAGCAGAGTCCACTTCCTCATTATCTGGAGGTGAATGAGCCGGAGGAGCCCCAGAAACTCACAGCACAGCGGCCTGGGCTGCAGCCTCGCCCCAGGCCCCCTGAGAAGGGGCACCCAGGGAGTCGCCTGCCCCTGGCCTCCGCGGCGGGGAGGTGGAAGGCTGAGAGATCTGGCCTTGGGACTCGGTGTGGTAGGACACATCTCGGATGAAGCTCACGCCAGCCCTGCCCTCCCGCTCCCCCCAGGACACCCAGCGGAAGCTCCTTGTCAGACTGGCTATCTACCAAGGAGGCCTCAGTGGGTGAGGGGTGGGAGGCTCACGACGGCGCGGTGGGCAGAGATCCCCGGGTACACAGCGGGGCAGGAGGGGCCCGCCTGGAACAGCCCTCACCAGCCGCAGGCGCCCGGCAGGTCCTGGACTCCTCCACACGGTTCCCTGGACCGGCCTCCGGAGCATGTGGCCCCAGCTGGGGGAAGGTGGAGGGGTTCACCTTTCCTCATTCTTGTCGCCTGCATTGAGGTGGTCTGGGTTGGACAGGTCCACCAGGCGTGAACCTTGTGGAGTGGGGAGGTTGTCTCTCCACGCGACCCCCAACCACACCCCGAAGTCCAGGAGTAAGCCCTCTGCCTCCTGGTGGCTGTCCCCCCGGAGCTCTAGCTGCAGGCTCTGCCTCCGTAGGGAGACCCCAGGACCCGGGCCGTGGGGGCCTCATCTCTCTTGGGACAACTCAGCCCGGCGAGTAGGCATCCTCTTAGCAAGACAGGCCCTTCTGTCCATCTCTGAAGTCAGTATGAACGCAGCAGTCAGTCGAGGTCCTGAGCAGTGGCAGCCTCCATTCTGGGACTCAGAATACAGCAGGAGAAAGACAAAACTCCTATCCATAAGCTCCATTTCTGGTGGGAAAGAGAGGGATGTGTGTAAAAAGAAAAACGGTAAAAAAAACCACCACGGGATGAAGAGCCCTGGAAAACAGTGAAAGAGGGGCCAGGACGAGAAGGCAGGAGGGTGTGCCGGGGCTGAGTTCAGGCCGGGGAGGCGGCGGCCTGGGAGACCCCGGGAGGAGTAGTTCAGGACGGTGGTGGTCAAGTCCAGCGTGGCCGGAGCACAGGGGTGGGGTCGGGGGACCTGATGTGGACACGGCAGGAGGGGCTGGTCACCACGGCAGGGCTTGTCGGCCGTGAAGACTGCACAGGTTCCAGGCTGGGCAGCTTGTCTGCTGGAGGGTCTTGGCTGCTGTCCACTACCACGGTCACTCTGGCTGCTGCGAGGGGAATCATTGTGGGGAGGGAGATGTGGGCAGGAGGGGAAGGCGATGGAGGAGGAAGGAGGGGGGCTGGGGCTGGGGGTGGGTGGAGCATGACTCTTGGAGGGAACAGTTGAGAAGAATGACTTGACGGGTAGATTAGATTTGCGGGTGAGGAAAGTCCAGGATGGACTCCTAGGGTTGTAGCTTCAGCAGCTAGGTGGATAGGGGCGCTGTTTACACAGAAGGTGGCTGGAAGGTAAGACATTTGGAGGCAGAATGTTTTGTTCTGAACATGTTCAGTTTGAGATGCTTCTGTGTCTGCAGCTGAGGGGGAAGGTCAAGATGAAAGAGAGCTAGGGATTTTGGCTCATGGGATGGAGGTGAGAACCTGGGGGAAGAATGTTGATGGAGGAGGACCTCGAGGGACTAAGCCAGGAACTCGGATCGGGGTGACTAGGAGGATCCAGTGAAGGAGAGTGAGAAGGAACAGCTGGAGGGAAGCGTTCCCAGGAGGGCGTAAGACGAGCTCGGGGAGGCAGCCATGGCTTGTGACAGCCTTGAGCCATCCATGACCAGGGAGGGCTCAGGGGAGGGAGGATCTAAGGGTGGGGTCGGGCAAAGAGAACGGGAGGTATGCTGGGGTAGACAGCTCTTCAGGGAGCTTTGCAAAGGGAGGTAGTGAATGGGGGTTGTGTTGGGGGTGGCATGGAGTCAAGGGAGGAGGTGGAGGTTTATCCCAGTGGGAGTGATCCAGGAGAGGAAGAAGAAATTCAAGAACAAAGTCCTTCAGTGAATAGAGACAAAGGTGCTGGTCTGACATAGGAACAGCGGTAACTGGAGAAGCAGCTGAGGATGTGGGGGCATGGGAGAGTGATGCGTCTGGTGTTGGCAAGATGAGGCATTGTGATCTGAACCTATGTGCTCTAAGATGTGCAAGGCCGAGTTCTCCGTTGAGAACTGGAGCCGGGAGGTGATGGAGGTCTGAGGGGAGAGACGCGTGTGTGATGCAGACACCAGAGATGACCTTGCAGGCCTCGCTTCACCTGGGTCCCATTGTTGGAGGCAGCCTGTTGAGGTCTACCCCGTGGATCCTGAGAAGGGATTTGGCCTAAGTCATCTTTGCCCTACACTCTTCTTCCTTTTCCCCTGCTCTTCATTTAGAATGCCCCCTAGTGGTATACAGCCCCCACTGAATGCAATTCTCCCGCTGGAAACTGGAGTTAACGCTTTTGAGTTCAGCAGAAGCGTAGTGCCCTCACACAGGCGGGGCTGCCTGAGAAGGGACCAGGGCCTGCTGTTGGAGACGTTCTGGCCTGCCTGGGCAGTGTGGGCCTGCCTGCGGCTGCTCTTAAGTGCTCAATTACACTGAGGCAGGCAAGGAGCCTTGTGGCTCACAGCACAGTGAGCCCCTGTCTACAAGTAGACTGGAAGTGTGACATCCAAGTTGTAGGGGCCCATGGAGGTGACACATGCGGAGGAGATGGTGATTGAGGGGTGCTGTGTCCTGTTCTTGTTTGATTGCTGTTTCTGTAGCTAATTTGAGACTTTGCAGGTCCTTCCTGGAGAGTGAAAAGCTTCAGGTGACTTAGGGAGACTGTCGGGAAAGGATGTGGGTTCTGGTATCACCCCACCCTTGCCCCTTTCAATCCATGTAACCCTGGTCAGTTTATTGAACCTCACTCATTCTGTTCAACTTAAGTTTTATTGTTGGTAAAATGGGGGGTGATAATCTGACTTCACAGAATTGAGAAGATCCCAACTCTGTACTTGCCCAGCAGACATCAGACAGATATGAGTCCCTGAGCATTGCATGTGTCCCGTGTGTTCAGCAGGCCTGGCGCCCCGCCCCTCTCAAGGCCTGCGTTCTAGCGTGTGAGAAGGAGGCATTGGGAGCCACATACAGACTACATCACTTGAGCACGAGTGCCTGGCAGGGGATGGACACTGATAATGGGGGTGATAACTATCCAGAGGGTCTCTGGTGACATCTGAGCGGAGACTTGGCAAGCCACGTAGGTGTCTGAGGTGGTGGCTACTGCTTGCAAAGTGCTTCTGGAACATTCCTTCCAGTGCACGTTCTGGAATGCAGAGGCACACCTGGCATTTGGGGGCTTTTCCTTGTGGCCACGCTGAGCACTGGCCTCAGCCTCTCTCTGCTCCCCTTGCAGGGTTTAACTCCCTCGTGGGAGGCGTGATGGGCTTCTCCATCCTTCTGAGCGCAGAGGTGTTCAAGCACAACTCGGCTGTCTGGTACCTGGACGGCAGCATCGGCGTGCTGATCGGCCTCACCATATTCGCCTACGGGGTCAAGTAAGTGCTGCTTCCTCTTTGCACTCTGGGCAGCCAGGGGTGCTGTATTCCCCACGTCTGATAACTACATCCTGTCCCTGTGACCCTCCTGCTCCTGGGTGAGGTTCGGGACTGGAAAAGTCCCGAGCAGCCGTCACACATCCTTGTGGTCCTCCCTTTAACTCTTGGTGCCAGGAGATCTGTGCCCCTTCCTTCCTCTATAGTGAGGGTCATGATGATGCACCAGGCGGGCCTGTGTGTTATCCTCATCCACTAGCCCCCTCTGCCACCTGCTGCAGTCAGTGGGGAGGTTGTAGAGGGGGCTAAAGCGCCCAGATTGAGAAAACTTTTTATAAAAGGGACGAAGGGCTGCACGTAGAAAAACCCACCCAGGCCTTGGGTTCTAGTCTAGCCCAAGGCCACTCACTGAAGTGCCCTGTAGGTATGCCTGGTTCTGTATCCAGCGTCCAGACTGGAGTCAGCCTCTGAAAAGAAAACAGTTTTTCAACCTTTTAAATGTTCACACACTTCTCTCTCCCATAAGGATGGCTTTAATAAAAGAGACAGTAAGTGTTGGTGAGGTTAAGGAGAAATCAAAACTCCATATTCTGTTGGTGGGGATATAAAATTGTTTAGCCATTTCAGGGGTAGCAGTTTCTCTGTGTTAAACACAGAGTTGCTATTTGGCCTAGCAATTCCACTCCTCGGTACATAATCCAGAGAAATGAAAACACATCCATGTAAAAACTTATGAACGATCGTAGTGGCATTATTCACAGTGGGCAAAAAGTAGAAAAAACTCGTATGCCCAACATATAACCCATATGCGGGTTTTAAAGAACACAGATGTCCATTGATTAAATAAAAGGTGGTAGAGACATAGTGGAGGATTTATTCAGCCAGAAGAATGAAATACTGATTTGTGCCACATGGATGAACCTTGAAAACACGCCCAGTGGGAGAAGTCAGTTACAGAAGGCTAGATGGTGCATGATTCCAGTTATAGTCAATACCTCAAACAGGCAAATATTTAGAGAAAGTAGATTAGTGGTTGTTGCGGGGGGTGAGGTGGGGAGTGACTGCTAGTGAGGTTTTTTTTGGGGGGGGGAGGGTGATGAAAATGTTCTAGAATTAGGTGGTGGTGACGATTGCACTGCCTATGTGTACACTGAAAACCACCGAATCGCAGGAATTTTATGGTATGTGAATTGTATTTATAGAAACAAAGCCCCCATCTGTCCCCCAAGCCCAGGGCTGTGGAGGGTCCTTGTTGGGGTGACCGGTCCGCTTCCTCCTTGCAGACTCCTCATCGACATGGTGCCCAGGGTGAGGCAGACGCGCCACTACGAGATGTTTGAGTGAAGGTGGCCCGCGCCGGCCGCCCCGCGGCTGCATGAAGACTGTCAGGACCAGGAGACGTTTCCACGCAGGCAGACGGTGCCCATGTTTAACTGAACATCAGCTTCTCTCTCGGAAAGCTTGTGCTCACGGGAACGAGGTCTACCCCGCAGGTCGGACTGCCCTGCTCTCCTCCCACCACCGCCCCCCCGCCTGACACCGCAGGACAACACTCACCGAGCGGGGACCCTCCCTGGGAACCGACCTCGTCTACCTTCTGCCGTAAAACAGGTTCGTGTGGGGAGGGTACCCGCCCTTCTGTGGTGCTCCCAGCCTGACACGGATAGTGACTCACCAGGCCCACCTCGGGGCCCCACGGGGGCCGAGTCTCTGGTCTCCTGGCAGATTTTAAGAGAGGACCGTACCCTTCGGTCCCGCGCCCCTTTCCAGAACCATCGTGTAGATCACCTCCTAATTTCTATCCGTGTATTTCATTCGTTTCATACTGTTTTACTAATCCTCAATCTAAACACTGGATTTGTTCTAAAGGAGACCGTTCTATTTTTAAAGTACTTAGTGATAGATGTATGAGCTTTGCATGGATCGAACTCAGCCCCAATCCTTTCTTGTACATTCAGAGCCCAAACATATACGTGTAAACACAGGATCCCTTTTGGAGAGGTGTGAAACTACAGTTTATTTGTAATAAATTATATAGTCTATCCATAGATGCATAGATCTATACGCTGTGTGAAGTGGTGATGGTACATCACAGTCTCCTCGTGATGGCTTCCTCCTCTGTAAGGAATGAGATGTTCTCGGTTTATGTAGCGTTAGTCGTAGACTCTGTACAAAACGGTCTCCACATGCAACATTCTGTCCTCCAGCGCTGCTCCTTGTCCAGGCAGCGGTGACCAATAAAGACCTTTTCCTGTTTTGTATGGCATGGGGAGGTGATCGCCAGTGACAACTGCTGTGCGCAGGTTTTCTGTCACAGGTGGAGGACAACTTGTGCCCGGGTAGAGGCCCTGAAGGGCAGGCGGTCTGTTCTAAGAGGTCACTGACCTTGTTCAGTCTGATGCTTTCAAGAGTGCTTTTCTCCAAAGGCATTCTGAAGCATGTTCTAGGGGCTGTTACCATGTCACACACACACACACAGACCAGACACTGTTCTGGTCTGGGAAATACAAGATGCAACAGATTCCTTTTCTGCAGGTTTTTCTTCCTGCAGTAATGTGTAATGTTTAATGTAGTTCCCATTGTGGAATCTTTGTGTAGCATCCCCAAAACTTAAGCACTCAAGTTATGCTCACCTTTCTGGGGACTTGTGTCCTGTGTGTCTCCCATGGCGTCTCTGCTCTGGGCAGCGTCCAGGCACGCTGCTGTCTTCAGAGAGGCTGCACCATGGCCCGCCAGCATCACCTACAAGTCCCTGGTGGGAGCATGAACTTGACCTTCCTTGTTCCCAGGGCACGTGCCTAACCAAGTGCTCATGGACCACTGATCTCTGGGGTCAAGGTGTTCTCTCTGAAGCAGGGAAACGTGGTCCAGGTCTAATAAGCCCACAGACAGCCTCTTAAGGGCTGCTGTACTAGCACATCCTGGAGGATTTTAAACATCCGTTGTAGCCCCAGGTTATCTTAAAGAAAAGCCTAGGAGTCCGTTGACAAACTCAGTTCCCCTCTAGGTGAGTACAGCGGGGGAGGTGCACTCCACGATCAGTACTGGTGGATGTGATAGAAGGGAAGAGTCTTGCACAGTGAACACTTACCCCTCCCCCAGTTCCTTAAACCCACCTTCCCATCGACGTTTCCAGAAGCGTGTCTGCAGGCGGTGACACCGTGGCCACCAGTGCTGGGAGAGTGGCTGTATCGCACCCCTTGCACCCACCCGGAACCTCCCACCCCACAAATCAAGTCCGCCTGTCACACAAGAAAAGTTTATTGAAAAATAAAGTTCTCCCTAGTTTTCTCTACGACAGTGGAAAATGAAGCAGTGCTCTCTACGTCCGTACAGTACATGTGATAGCAACACCTTATTGGCAGAGCCTTGCCTGACTTAACCCTGGGTGGACGGTAGAAAACGGCCGTACCAGGAGCTGGCTGAAGACACAGATGCGCATGGCCGTTACCTTACAGACAATGAGCGTGGGACAGCAACTACGGCAGAAAAGATGCCACCATCTCCTTTGGCATCGGTTGTCCCACCCGCATTTGTCCTGTTCATACCTGGCCTGGACAGGGAGCAAATGCTCCCTAAGTTTGCGCCATCTCAGCTTGGGCAGAGGTGGCCGACTGCACTAGCTTCCTGTCCGGCTGTCCCAGGGAGACCTCCTGCAAGTGGTCTGAGCACCCAGGACCACACCCCCCAATGCCCCACACACAGGGCCCTGTGCCCCACATGAGCACACAGCTGCCCTCCGTCCCTCTGCCCTGCCTCACCAGCTGCGGGGGCATAAGGGGTCATCTAAAGGCTCCACAAGATCTGGGGAAAATCGAGGAAATGTTTTGAAGAAGGTGCACTCCAATCTGACATCCACAGACATGTAAGACTGCTGATGGAGCTGAAGAGAATGCAAAGGATCTTAAAAAGACAACAACAAATTCCTCCATTTCCCACAAATGCAGTCTATCCAGAATAGCGCCAAAATAGGAGAGGAGATAAAAGCTGAGCCTATCTAGGGAAGTAAGAGGCTGACACCAACCCCACCCCCGCAAAAAAAAAGCCAACTGACATTCAGCTGATTTGGAAAAACATCACTAAGCTAGGAGCAGCCTCTTGGAGTTCTGAAGAGCCCTTGCTCTCTCCACGAAACTAACCTTTAATTTGATAGAAACAGAACTAACCAGCCTGGGAGTCTGATTCTCTTGGACTGGACACTGGAGAAGCCACCCTGGCCAGCAGGGGGCAGCCTAGGGACTTCCCAGGGAATGAGTGCATTCAAGAGGTCATTCCTTTTCCTTTAAACAAAAAAACAGAAACACCTCTATTATTGCATTTCAGAGGAAGATGGGTAACTTTAAGGGAACCGTCTGTCAGAGGATTTAATTTCCAGCTCAAAAAGTTCTGCACACACCCTGGAAAGGTCCAGAAGTTGTCAGTGGGGTGGGGTCTGGCACTCTTCTGTCAAGCTGACTAATTCTTGCAGCCCAGTTCCACCTGGGGCTGGAGTCAGGCATATTTTCAAATCAGTCAGTGCATTCAGGGACACAGTACCATTTTAGCCAGCAGGGTGGACACAGGACTTGGGCATCTTAAACCTGTAATTCCTACAACATTCTATCAACTTGGAGTATCTTCCTGCACCTACAGGAATCAATTATAGGAAGTGAGCTCAGCTCTTTTTTTCCCTCAATTTTTATAAAATGTGAAAAACAACAATATTTAACATTTACTAGGACTTACTATATGCCAGACATTGCTAAACACTGAATCCTCACAAAACCCCTAAGTGCTAAGAAAGCTAGGGTAATTTTTTTTTTTTTCTGCATCTGACACTAGACAGCTAATTTGGCCTTTTGCCATATAAACTTGGGTTTTCCATTTTTGTTGTTGAAGCCAACAAGAAGGAAAAGAACCCACCCTCCTCTTTAGGCAACTCCCACCTTTCTAGAGCAGGCTGAATCTCGACATCTGTCCGTCTCTTCACATGAAGATGCGCTGCAGCCGAGGGGACGGGTGGGATTAGAATGAAACCAATGTGGAAATGAAAATATTCTTCAATAAATAAAACATTCCAGGCTTGGGAGAGTAACACAACCACAGCCTGTCGTTAATAGAGCTTTTTTTAAAATCAAGAATTGGTGTGGGGGAGGGTGGTGGGCGTGGGAGAGGGTGGCAATGTCCCAAATATGTATATATCATCTAGTAGGGAAACCTGTCCCAGGGAGCGGGTGGCCTGAATGGCCTGGTCTAAAAAGCACAAACCCGCCCATAACAGCACAGTTTCTGCCTAACTGCTCACAATCACAGTTTTCCTACCAGTGAGCTGCACTGGGGCACCAAGGGAGTTTACTGGGAGGCTGACGTCTGCCAAGGAAGTAAAAACAGGGGGTGCATATTATTTCCCCTCGTCCTGCTAGGGAGATAGAATGATTTGGGGCCAGTGCTTCCAACGAGCCCAGCAGGGCCTGCTTCCCTACACTGCAAGCCCTCACACAGGGTTGGTTCTCTGCCCCCGCCACCCTCCACCAAGCCCCAGGGTGGCACTTGTCAACCATCTGTCTCCAGACAAACCCAGAGACCTGGCCGAGCAGCCTGGGAGGGCGAAGGTCGGTCTGGAGGAAGTCAGCCCTCTTCTTGGGGGCTGCATGGGGGGTGTCTGCGCACATATGCTGTGACCTGGGGAGCTTGGAGGGCATGTATGGCGTCCAGCCTGGGTTGCCCTGTCTCGCAAGGATAGGTCCTATCTATCTCCAAGCTGGAAGAGTCTGCTAGCTTCCTTCAACAAAACCCGGATTCCAAACACCGACACCAGATTCCAAAAACCAATCCCAAAGAAAAGTGAAAAGGCACCTCAGAGAAACAATAAATATCACCAAAGAAAAGATGGCTTAATACTAATAAACATACAGCAGACACAAAGTAAAAAACCCAATCTAAGCAAGAACGCGAAAAGCTTCTCCAATTGTGCATGTGCAAATCAAACTGCATACCAGAAATAAATGAGGTGTTTACTGGCATGAGAAGTGTGTCTTCCCTTTCAGGAATTTTTACTCCTGAAAGTGTTTACATTTCAAAGGAAAGCTTTCTCTCCTTCAATAAATTAAACCTTTTCCCTCAAGTTTTGCTTAAGAACTTAGGATCACAGTGAAGGAAAAATAAATCCAAACTTTTAGGAAAAAATGTACAAAAAACTTAAAAACCAGGTAAGAGGTGAGAGATGCTCAGAGCACAGGAAGATGCTAGTCCTGACTGGGGAGATCTCTCCCTGTGGAACTGTCATCAATTAACAAGGTGGTTCAGGATTCTATCAAGATTGGCACTGGCAAAACCACCCAAGGCTTCTAGCCCATACCCTGAAAGCCGCCGTCTTCTCCCAGAGCAGGCAGGAATCGCAGCCATTCTTGCACAGGGCAGATGGAGGCCCCACCCTAATGTCCTCTGGGGTCACTGACCAGACTCGGGCCAAGTCTGGAGGCCTGGGAACCAGTATACATTTGGTGTCGCCCCCTCTGCCCTCAACAACTGGAGTGTGGGTTTCTTTGCACCAGGAGCAGCAGCCACATCACCCCGCCCTGGGGGCAGAACTCTGGCTTACTCCCGTCAGTTCTGGGATGGGGGGAGCAAGAAGGATCTTAAGGTGGGGAAGTGCTCCTTGGCTGCCTGACCGAGGGTCCTGGCGTGGAGGAGGCAGAGTCCCTGAGCAAAGGGGCAGCCGGCAAACGATCCCTGCAGCTTCTGGAACACAAGGCCGGCACAGTGTGTTTCTGAGAACCCGGCTTTCCAACCTCCTTGCTTTCAGAGTCCTGGGCTTGTTCTAACAGATCTCTGCCAGATGGGCGAGTCTGGCAAAGCGTGGGAAACTGGTCTCGGCCCGCAGGCTCCCCCTGCTGGTCAAACACGGGCACGCACCTCCTCAGCACCAGAAACGGCCAGAAGGGCCCAGGAGAGGGCAGTGCTGGCCCAGGAACTGCAGGTCTGGGCGCTAAAGCGAATTCCCTCTAGGAAGGCTGCAGCCAGGAGGCCCGTTCCTAGGAAACAGTGGTTCCCAACAGCAGGGATGGCAGCTGTTTCCTCCCCCGGCAGGAAACTGTCCTCGCGAAGCACTCAGAAGCACACGGGCACTCACAGCCTCTTGCCCAGTTTCCTTTCGACTTCTGCCCTTGTTTCTATGCTCAGTCAGTTTGTGAGGGGTGGGCCCTGGCATCCCTGCTCAGCACGGAGGCTTCCCCAACAGAATTCTCCCTGGCACAGGTACTCGGGGGCCACCTATAGGGTGGGGGAGACCCTGGCTGCCCTAACTCCCCCACTCCATTCTCTAAGATCCACTGAGGTTAGTCTAAGGAAAGAAGGCCGGCTGTGCATTTGATATCAATTTTATACCCAAGAAGAAGAATCGAGGAGTGGGTGGAATCTAACCTCCCATCCCTCACAGCCCCACGCTCCTCCTGGGTGGGCTTCAGACTTGAGAATTCTAACCTGAACCTTGCGTTCCAAAGGCCCATCCAGCCACTAGCTGTGTCCAGCTTTTCTGCTCAGCAACCAAGCCACTCAGAATCTTCAGTGAGGGCTGGGTGGCTCACGGGACAGCTTTCAAGGGGGACATTCTGCCAGAGAGAGAAGGGAGCTCACTCTTACCAGCACGGAGATGCCAGGGGCATCACAGGACACATACACACACACACACATGTGCACACGCAAAGCACTAAAGCACGGCGTGGGGGGAGGAGAGTGGGAAGGGGCTGGGGGAACTTGCACAAGAGCAGAGCGCCGGGACTCCAGAGTTTGGTCCAACCTGCTCACCAGTTCAACACCCTCCTCCCCAGTATTTCTGCCTGGAGTAAAAGCCAGTATCAGATTCCTACCCCTTGCAAACCACACCCACACTCACAGTCAGCAGCCAAGACAGTGCACATTCATCCTGGCCTGCCCTTGCTCCCCCAGCCAACATCAAAAGTTCACTGAGAGCCCCATCCCCTGGACTTCGGTGACATCAGGCCGAGTGAATATGACACAAGCCCAGCTCAGGTGGCGCCGCTGGTTCTTAGGGACCAGCTTCGCTCCTGTCCAAGTCGCAGTTCAAAGACACCCCTTCTCAAGGGGGTAAAGAGCACCACCTCCAAGTGCAAGGGCAGCCTGTAATCCTAAGCAGAAATGACAGCCAAGCTGTGTGGGGGAGTGTTCCACCTCGGGGGAGGGATGGAACAGACAAAAGGAGCCTGTCACTGCAAAGCAGCCCATCTCTGGTCCCTGCTGGGCTCTCTGGACCACACAGGCATTCCCCTGGACAACCAGGGGGTGCCTATCCCCTAGCCTCTGCCACCTGCTAAGCACAAGGAATTTCTTTTCTTCTGCCACCATCCACTTTGAGGAGCTAGGTAGCCACAGCTGCCCTTAATCATGCCACCAGCCCCACGGCGCACTCTGCCCAAAGCAGACAACAGTCATGTTATAGTGAAGAGGGATGGCCAACAGAGGAAAATCAGAGAAGTAGCAAGACGCTCAATCAATCCCTCTTTGCCCTCCCCAGCTCCCCCTCCCTCCCTCCCAAATAAATAAATTAATGGGTTTAGGAATGTTCCCGTAGAAGTTCTTTCCAACTAGCTTGATTCCTCCTCTGGTTTTGTTTCGTTTAAACGAATATTGAGATTCTCTTTTTTTACCCTGGAGCAGCTGCACAGTCTCCCTACTGTAGCTCCTCCAAAATTAAAGACGAAGTTGTGCCAGGGAGAAGCCAGGTTCCCGGCCTGAGGTTGGCTCTCGTTTTGTTTTGGTGAGAGCTCCGCTGTGATGCTCTAACTGCAGCGGGACCAGTACCAAATCGAGACCTTCCACCAAAACGTTCAGGCTCTGGGGAGAGTCCCTGAATGGCGTCTGTGTCCCCGCCCCATCCTGGTGGGGCTGGAGCCGCTGTCTCCCCCCCGCAGAGCGTGGGCGCGGGTGGAATGGCGGCCGCTATAGACAGTCTTTACAGAGAGCCACCTGGCCCTTGATGAAGTCCCGGCAGGGGCAGATCCTCCGGTGGCGGGCGTGGGCGCCGGCACAGCTGAACAGCAGGAGGTCGCCTTGAAACACACAGTGCTTGCTCTTGGGGTCGAAGGAGGGCGCCACGATGTCCTTGGCCAGCTCTGAGCTCTGGCAGTTCACCTCGTACCTGAAGAGGAAGAGGAAGGGGTTGGAGAGGCAGGGACCGTCCTCAGCCCTGGCCGCTTCTACCACCCTCCAGTGGGGAAGGCTGTTTGGGGCCCCTGTCGACCACCCTCTGACCCAGCCATCCTCACCACTGGGAACCCGGGCTCGAGAAGGGCATGTGAGTGCCTGAATGTGGATGTGGTTGCAGTGTGTGTTCAAGGCTGCTTAGGGAAGCACTGTCCGTCACAGAGAAGAACTGGAAATAACCTGAAGACTCAGCACGTGGGGAACGGCTGGGTCCCCTTGGCTCAGCTGTGTTATCAGAGTCACACGCAGCACTTGACAAGGAGGTCAGGAATGCGACCACCAAGCACGAGAGCAAGTAATAACTGGGGGTGCAGTGTACCTACGTGTGTGTGTGCGCGTGTGCACACACAGAGTAAGTGTGGGAGGGAGAGCGAGGGGGGGGGAGAGAGGGAGAAGAGAGAAAATGAGAGGGAGACAGGAAGAGGGAAAGAAAGTAGCGCAGGTACACTGAAGACTCAACAGTGGTTACTTCTGAGAAGTGAGACTGGGACAATGATATGCATCATTTAAATACTTTTTTAGAACATTTTAAAACTATGTCTGTTTTTAAAACTAATGCTTAGAGAGATGTCTGTTGTATGACCTTAGTCTCCCGCTGGAGAGCAATCAGATGGTCTCCTGGGCATGGTGTGTCCTGGGGCCTCAATTCATGGGACCTTTGCAGCCGCCTTCCACGACTGTGGCAACAGAACGTCCTACCACACACCCCGGTCCCCGGCCCCTGAGGGCTGTGGATGCGCAGAGCAGGGACTGAGTCCAGGCCCTGATCCCAAGCCCATGTTCTTGCTCCTCCCCCATCTTCTCCCACCCGTCTGGCTGTGGGCTGCAGACCCCTGGGGTTTTGCTTCCTCAGACGGAAACCCCCACCTGGGGGGCTCAGGAGAACAGTGTTGGCTTCTCATCTCAAAGAAGAGCCATGTAAGTTCTCTTCCTAGCTGGGGTGTTTGGGTCTCACCATCTTGTCCCCCCTTGTCCCACATGCCTGGTGGGGAACAACAGCTCAGAGAAGGTGGCCAGACAGATCTGGGTTTGCATCCTGGCTTCATCTCTTATGAGCCGTGTGACCCTGGACCAATGCCTGAGCCTCCCCGTGACTCAGTTTCCTTTTCTGTGAAATGGGGCTAAATAACCCTTGACTCACAGGGAAGGTCATGTGCTTAGTCGCATAGTCATGTCTCACTCTTTGCAATCCTTTGGACTGGAGCCCACCAGGCTCCTCTGTCCATGGGATTTTTCAGGCAAGAATACTGGAGTGGGTAGACATTCCCTTCTCCAGATCATCTTCCTGACGCTGGAATCGAACCTGCATCTCCTGCTTCCTGCACTGCAGGCGAATTCTTTACCCACTCACCGGGGGAGAGCACGGGGGTTAAATTAATGTTTACAGAGCAGCTGGCAGAGTCCAGCTCTGAGTAAGCATTCAACGCATGAGAACTAGCATGATCACTCCCGCTGGTCGATGCTGGGTGCACTGCCACCTTCTGCCCTCACCCCACACTGTGAATTTACACACATGCCAAGTATCTCCATTTTGCTTTGTTCTCAGAAGTCCTGATTCTTGCTGACAGGGAGGGGATTTGGGCGGGGAACCTGAGGTTTCTTGCCACTTCTGGAAAGCTTCCAAATGTTGGGAGAAAAGCATCTGACCCCCACCCCCACCCAGTGTTAATCCTGCCCGCTTCCTTGAGCCAACTAAGTGCCTGGGCCCACCTGCCCCCTTGCTGGCACTAATCTGTGATTTCCAGCGCATCTCCTGGGCTTCTGGTGAGCTCTCCGAGGCCTCCAGCCCAGCTCCTGGCTCTCAGGAGGGCAGCGCCCCCTCCGGTCCTGCTCTTGCAGTCTCCAGGGAGCTCTGTGACTTCTCTAAGTGGCCTAACACCTCCTGATGTTTGGTGTGCCTGCTGGGAGATGGAAGCACCCAGAGGATTAGGGTCATGGCGAGGGCAAGGAGCTGGGGGCTCCATGGATTTCCTAAAGGAAACACAAGTCAGAGTCAGGGCCCACCTGGTCCTGCCTGTTTCCTGGCCAACACTGAAAGAGGGTCTCCAGAGCCCAGCTGGGCATGAAGTTTCCACATGGAATGTGGCCTTGGGATCCAGATTTGTGCTTATGCTATTGATGTATTTAGGTGAATCACGGCAGCTGCTGTGTCTTAACACAAGCCACCTGCCTGGCACACCGCTCATTAGGGGTGTGAAGTCTCCAGAATTCATCTCGGACCCCGTGGCGAGTGGGAGGGACTGTCAAGAGACAGCGAGAAACAGGCCTGCTCCTGGCCTCCTAGCCTTGGACTCCAGGCCCAGCGTACCAGGGTGTGAGCACGTGCCCATGGCCACGAGGCTGCAGCAGCAGCCTGTCCGAGGCCGATGTCCAAGACCACCGCAAAGCGCGGCGGGCGGTCCCCGGAGCCACGGGTGACATGGCCCAGCAAGCTCCCCAGAGGCTCAGCTGAGTGGTGGGGGGGCCACCCTTGGGTGCGACCCAATCCCTGACCTGGGGTCTCTGTCCCACAGCCCCGGGCCTGCAGAGAGGCCCCTCGAGCATCCTTGCTGAGCTCAGCAGGGGGTGGGGACCTTCCCAATCGCTGGAGCACATCCTCACCCCAACGTGGTCCCTTGCTTCTTGAGGGCGTGTGTGCTGCTGTCCTGCGTCTGTTCCTAGCATGTCTGTCTTGCCCGCATGGGCGTACACACACACACACACACACCCCACACACCCCCCTTGTGCTGTTTCCATTCTGCAGCCCCTCTCTAACTGCCCTCAACGGCTTCTCTCACAGGATGGGATGGGAACTGGGGCTTCTGAGGCCCTCGGCCCTCGCTGGAGAGCTTAGAGCTCTTGAAACAGAAGAAAAAGGCAAGGCCTCCCCCTCCCCATGGGGACACCTATTTCCCAAGAGGACAGAAGCCCCGCAGCCCTCTCCACACGCAGACCCACACTGGATAAAAGGAAGGAAGCCGGGCCCCATCTGCGGGTCTCCTTCTTCCCCCTCCCCCCTCCCCCCACTCCACCTTGCTAATCCCAACCCCGTATCCACCAAGTCTCCCCAGGCTCACTAGTCACCACCCTGAAGCACTGAGGCACCACAGTGCTCACAATCCAGGCTCCGTGGCTTAGAATTCCTCTTAAAAAAAAAAACAACAAAACCCACCCCAAACTCAATAAATTAATACTTTAGAGGATACAACTTGTAAAGGTAGCAACATTACAAAGGAGATATTCCACTAACATGTGTTTCTGTTTCTGGGGGTGAGGTGCTCCCCCCGGACCCCATCAGCATGGACTCCGGCTCTTTCTAGGACCTCTGTCCTCTGACCTCTCAGGACCTGGTCTGGGTCAAGTCAGGTCGCACCTGAATCATGCGTGCTCTGGGCTTCGTGGTCACCTCTCCGTCACTCCCAGAGCCCCGCCTGAGCAGGAGCTCCAAGACCAGCTGCCTGACTCCCCGAGTCAAGATGACAGCGTGGGACACTTGACACCTGTCGTATCGTCACACCGCGTGGCGAGGACAGGCCGGGGACACCCGCAGACGGAGAGGAGCTTCCACTCAGAGCCAGGCCCCAAGCTGGAGGAGAAACAGCAGCCTGGGCTCAGAGGAGGCGCTCACCGCTGAGTGGCCGTGAATATGGATCAGCCGGGACGGCCGCACTGGGGAGGCACTCGGCAGACTTGCCAGAGCACTGTGATGTTATCAGTATTTACCAATGCAGAAACAAAGGTATTCAATAGGGCTCTCATGTTCAGAAAATTAATTTCAGGTGGCTCTGTTGCAAAATTAGCATGTGCGGCAGCCTCCTAGGGAGAAAACCCACAGATCTTCAAGGGGCTAGGTGGGCGGGGGCTGCTGAGTCATGCCTCGGCAAAGGGCCTGGCCCGGGGTAGCCCCTCACCCAGGCCTTCTGCTGCCCTGGGCTCGGCCTGGGGCACGGGATTGCCGGTGGGGGGCGGGGTGGGGCTTGAGGTGGGGCCGGGGCGCTGGCTTTTATGGTTGCAGCCCGGTGACTTCAGGCCTGCTCCGTGGCCCAGGCTCCGGGAAGGAAGGACTGTGCTGAGCACAGGCTCACCATCACTGCAGCTGTCCCCATTCCACAGGCGGGAAGACTGACAGAACAGAGGAAATGGGCCCACTGGCTCCCCTTCCTGTTCCCCTGCAGGCTCGGCGGGACCCTGGGCTCTCTTAGCCGGGCCCTGACTCTCCTGGAGCCCTGCCCCCGGCCTGGCCAGGAAGGCCCATGCCTCTGAGCTGTCCCATCAGGGTTCCCTCCTCCAGAGGCAGGCGAGGCTACCTCTGCCTGTGGACATTTGACAGTCTGTCCCTAGTGACGCCAGACTTCCTGTCAGACAGAGGGAGACACTCAAGGTTCTCAGGAAGCCACCTTTGTACAGGAGTGGCCTGCAACAGGGGTGAGTGGGAAGCTCCTCCTGAACTTAGAATTGGGGACACGTGCTCTGGAGGTAGAAGCTTCTAGCACCACAGACATCAGACCAGCGCTGCCTCTCACATGGCATCACCGGCTGCAAAGCAGGATGCCGACCCACTCTGCTGGTCTGGCCTCTATTCTGCTGGTGGAATTGAGGCCACCTCTGATCCTGGTCTTCATGTTAAAAAAGAAAAATGAGAAAAAATAGCATCCCCCGAGTCCCTATTCAGGAAAGGAGCCCTGCAGGCAAGATGCTAGAGATCACGTTTCCTCTCTGAAAAGGGTTTTACACCTTATTACTTGAGGTGAGCATAATAAGGCTTACAGGCAGGGCCAGGCCAGCTCAGACCACTGTGCCCAGATAGATGCAGTGGCCAACTGTGCTCCAACAGGGTGTGAAGCCAGAATGGAGACCTGTGAGCCTGGAGCCCCGAGTCCACTCTGTTCTTAAGACTGGGGCAGGGGCTTCCCTGGTGGCTTGGGTGGTAAAGAATCCACCTGCCATTGCAGAAGACACAGGTTCGATCCCTGGCTGGGTAGGAACCCACATGCAAGCCCTTGTACCACAACGACTGCGTCTGTGCTCCAGAGCCCGGAAGCTACCAACTACTGAGCCCATGTGCCTCGGAGCAGCGAAGCCCAGGCTCCACAGCTGCTGAAGCCTGAGTGCCTGGAGCCCATGCTCCACAAGAGAAGTCACTGCAATGAGAAGCCCATGCACCACAACTAGAGACTTGTCCTCGCTCGCTGCAACGAGAAAATCCTGTGAAGCAACAAAGACCCGGCACAGCCAATAAATAAGTAAAAAAAAAAAAAAAAAGACTGGGACCTAACTGCTGCTCTGCAGAATATCTGGGGTTGGGAGAACAAATCCCCTCGGGGAAAATACCACATTAGAGCTATTAAGGTTGGGAAGGAGGTGACAGGTAATTAACTAGGTTGTGGCCCAGTGAGTCAAAGTCGCTCAGTGGTGTCCAACTCTTTTCGACCCCATGGACCATACGGTCCATGGAATTCTCCAGGCCAGAATACTGGAGTGGGTAGCCTTTCCCCTCTTCAGGGGATCTTCCCAACCTGGGATTGAACCCACATCTCCCTCATTACAGGTGGAATCTTTACCAGCTGATTCATAAGCCCAGGGTGGGTGCGATAAATATCGAGGCACAAATTTAGCCCTGACTGAGGTCATGAGTCAGAGGCCAGAAGAAACCTCACATGAAAATTTGGAAAATGCAAACACCAAACTCAATGCCACCACAAAAGGAAATGAACGGTGTTAATGAAATTAATGGTTCCCTGGTAGCTAAGTGGTAAAGAACCCGCCTGCCAATGCAGGAGACGTGGGCTCATTCCCTGGGTCTGGAAGATGCCCTGGAGAAGGCAACCCACTCCAGTATTCTTGTGTGGAGAATCCTATGGACTGAGGAGCCTGGCAGGCTATAGACCACGGGGTTGCAGAGTTGAACATGACTTATCAACTAAACAACAACTGTTAGTAACACAAGCAGCACAAGGCAAGCAATGCCGGCGAGAGAAGACCCCACTGGGCGACTCTGGGCTGTAATTCCAGTGCTGTGCCCGCCACCCTGCTCGGGGACCCTCGGGGACCCGGCAGTGCCAGGCTCACAGCCGCTGGCATGCACTCACTCCAAAACGGCTGAAGTAAAGTACAAAGGGGACGGGGCTTCAGGAGGGCAGGGCGGCAGTGGATTTGCTGTGGGCAGTTCTGTGCCAGCTCCTTGCCCATATTTTTCATTCCTTCCTGACTCCAGGGTTGAAGACTGTCACTCTGCTAGATGCCATCCGGGGACCAGGCTTCAGCCTGGGACCTCAGGGGCGGGTCCGTCCATGCTTGCGGTTCTGGGCCCATCTTCACTCTTATGCTTCTTGGGTACGAATTAGCTAACTGACACCTCCTACCATCTCCAAGCCCAGAATTGGCATTATTTATGCACATACAACACCCCCATTTGAATTCTAAATGTATCAGCAGGCGAGGGAACCTCATCTACCTAACAGTAAAAATGCTAGGCCAACTTTCTCTGGGTAGGGGGAGATGTGGTGTGACCCGCTCCTTCTCCACAATTTATTCCAACAGCCCCTGAACCTAGAGCCTAGAAACACAAACTTCATCCCTGTCAACCCAACTCTAAGCCCGAGGCGAGCTGGAGGCGGGGCCGCCCCTCCCGCGCTCCGGCACTTACTTCAGCAGGTCCTTGTCCTTGTTGAGATGCTGGAAGAAGGACGGCTCACAGATGAGCTGGTTCTCCTGACATGCTTGCTTGCAGGACTGCCCGGGCTCAGCAAATTTTACCTGCAGGGCACTCAGGGGCGGCCACATCACTTGCCCGTGGCAGAAGTCCTAGAATGACAATGAAACTGTCAGGCAAGGGACCAGGGATGCAGGTGGGGTATTCCCCAGTCTGCCAACCAGTTCCAACAAGCTGGGGCACCGGCTGTGCGAGAGTGGAGACGGGCAGTGGATGGGAGCCAGACGGGCTCGGGTTGGCATCTCAGCTAGAACACGGCCTTGGCCTTGCCACCTCTACTCACCAGCTTCCTATGCCCAGCACTGTGCCTGCCAGTAACGGGCTATCCCTTCATCCACGATGATACAGTCGAGCTATTTAAAGTATCCGCCCTTGAAGGCCCATCTCCAGGCCCACGTTCACCAGCTGTTCCATTCCCTCCGCCCTAATTCCTAAGACATTTTCAGCGACTACCTAATCTGACACAGAATTTAACAACGGTTACCTAATATAACACTGTTTTCTGAGTGCTAGTTTCAACTCAGGGAAGCAAAAGAGGTCTGTAGGTCTCTGGAATAGAACCTATCAGGGGGACATGGTCTTGATAGAAGCTCAGTTGGTTGGAACAAGTATAACACAAATTCAATCGCTAGAGAAGCTGTCCGAGGATGTGTGATAGAAGGTGAAGTAACCTGGTACCCCCTGAGAGGAGAGGCACCCGGAGGCAGGGAAGGTGGGGGTGTGCTCAGGATGGGGCTGGTCTGTCATTCTTGGGATCTACTGGGAGCGGAGGAAATGCACACGTCCAAGGGAGTCACGGGCAGGGAGGACCAGGAGGAAATGCGTGCAGCAGGCATAAGCTGAGCAGTGAGGAGAAAGGTGAACTCCTCAGCAGAGATAAGCTGAGCGGTGAGGAGAAAGGGACCAGGGATAGGGCAGGTGAGGAGCGGGAACTCTCCCCGACCTGGGACCCCAGCTTTCGTCTCAGCCATGCCAGGAGCAAGTCTGAACAGGTACCAGGGGTGGGAACTCAGGTACCGCTGGCACCCAGAACCCGCTCTGCTTAAATGTTGCTGATGGAACCCGAGTCAAAGCCCTCCAAATCCCTGAGCCATCCAACCTGCAAAAGAAAAGCTGTGTTTGTGTAACTTCTTTTGGGGTGGGCTAGCCCTTGGGGTGCCCAGTGATGGCTAGGATCCTGAGCTCTCAACTCTACTTGGAGGAATTCACTGCAGACATATGGGACACATGGGGCAAAGAAACCTACTCAGGACACAGGGAAACGTAAGCAATGTTGTTGAGAGAAGTGGAAGACTTGAAACAAACTAAAGGTTGTATATAAACAGGTTGTGTTTAAACACCGAGAGCCAGACATCTTGGAGTGTGAAGTTAAGTGGGCCTTAGGAAGCATCACCGTGAACAAAGCTAGTGGAGGTGATGGAATTCCAGCTGAGTTATTTCAAATCCTAAAAGATGCTGCTGCTGAAGTGCTGCACTCAATATGCCAGCAAATTTGGAAAGCTCAGCAGTGGCCACAGGACAGGAAAAGGTCAGTTTTCACTCCAATCCCAAAGAAAGGCAATGCAAAAGAATGTTCAAACTATCACACAATTGCTCTCATCTCACACACTAGCAAAGTAATGCTCAAAATTCTCCAAGTCAGGCTTCAAAAGTATGTGAACCAAGAATTTCCACATGTTCAAGCTTGATTTAGAAAAAGGTAGAGGAACCAGAGATCAAATGGCCAACATCCATTGCATCATAGAAAAAGCAAGAGAATTCCAGAAAAATATCTACTTCTGCTTCATTGACTAAGCCAAAGCCTTTGACAGTGTGGATCACAACAAACTATGGAAAATTCTTAAAGAGATGGGAATTCCAGGCCACTTTACCTGCCTCCTGAGAAACCTGTATGCAGGTCAAGAAGCAACAGTTAGAACCAGACATGGAACAATGGACTGATTCCAAATCAGGAAAGGAGTACATCAAGGCTATATATTGTCACCCTGCTTATTTAACTTATAAGCAGAGGACATCATGCAAATTCCAGGCTGGATGCAGCACAAGCTGGAATTAAGACTACCAGGAGAAATATCAATAACCTCAGATATGCAGATGACACCACTCTTATGGCAGAAATAAAGTGGAACTAAAGAGCCTCTTGATGAAAGTGAAAGAGGAGTGAAAAAGCTGGCCTAAAACTCAATATTCAAAAACCTAAGATCATGGCATCCAGTCCCATCACTTCATGAGAAATCAATGAGGAAACAAGAGAAACAGTGACAGACTTTATTTCTTCCAAAATCACTGCAGATGGTGACTACAGCCATGAAATTAAAAGACGCTTGCTCCTTGGAAGAAAAGCTGTGACAAATCTAGACAGCATAAAAAAGCAGAGACATTACTTTGTTGACAAAGGTCCATCTAGCCAAAGCTATGGTGTTTCCAGTAGTCACGTATGGATGTGAGAGCTGGACCATAAAGGCTGAGTGCTGAAGAATTGATGCTTTTGAACCGTGGCATTTGAGAAGACTCTTGAGAGTCCCTTGGACTTCAAGGAGATCAAACCAGTCAATCCTAAAGAAAATCAATCTTGACTATTCATTGGAGGGACTGATGTTGAAGCTCCAATACTTTGACCACCTGATGCGAAGAGCTGAGTCATTAGAAAAGACCCTGATGTTGGGAAAGATTGGAGGCAGGAGGAGAAGAGGACGAGATGGCTGGATGGCATCACCGACTCGATGGACATGAGTTTGAGCAAGCTCTGGGAGTTGGTGATAGACAGGGAAGCCTGGTGTGCTGCAATCCATAGAGTCGTAAAGAGTCAGATACCAGTGGCTGAACTGAAGTGAAACAATATAAAGGTTGTATTTAAACAGGTTCAGATACAAAAAAAAACCAAGCAATGTAATAGGTTACTATGCCCTGACATGGAAACATCCCCAGTGCAAACTGAGAAGGGAAAAAAATAGGTTGAATGTGAGTATATAGTGTGTTTCCATTTGTGTCAATACACATAATCAGGCCTGTGTTCCTATAAGAATATTTCTGGCACCACTAAGAAAAGGAAATGGGTAACAGGGTTGGGGATCATCAGGGAATTTACTTTTCAATGCATGTCCTTCTGGAATATTCTTTTTCCTCTTGCTTTCTCTCTATCCTCTTTGTGGATGGGGAGCTGGCTAACCATTTCAGGCTTTCAGAACTGGAGCCAGCAGGAACAGGTTCCACGCTCCTCCTGTTGGTCACGTGGAGCATTGCAGGAATGGGCCCTGCAGGGTCCCTGAACAGTGAGAATGCAGGCCAGAGATGCATCCAGGGGGCCCTACTGTGCTGTTTGCCTATTTCCTCTTTCAAACCTCAGCTTCCTCATCAGAAAAATGTAGATGATGAAACTGATGATTTCCTATGGTTCCTGCTTCTCCCCACTTCCTTGCTGAAGGAGGTGATACTATTACACGTAGAGGAAGGTAACTGGCAAGTAGGCTTCTATTCCAGTCTCCTCATCAGGGCTTGGGATCCCACCAGTAAGGTGAACTTGCTGTCGTCTCCCACATTACATCGTCATGTGAGGCTGTGCATGCTTGAGACTGAGTGAGTGCATGCTCAAGTGGCTTTCGACTCTTTGCAGTGCCATTGACTACAGCCTGCCAGGCTCCTCTGTACATGGGATTCTCCAGGCAAGAATAGTAGAGTGGGTTATCATTTGCTCCTCCAGGGGATCTTCCCAACCCAGGGATCTGAACCCTCCTGCATCTCCTGCATTGGCAGGCAGGTTCTTTACCACTAGCGCCACCTGGGAAGCCCAGGTGAGTTTGGGGCTTAACAGATACTTCACAGCCTGAGGTCAGGAAACCTAGAGCCTGAATTTGTATCAGCTGACAGCAGAAGATTCCAGAAGGGTCTAATAATTCAGAGATGAAAGAAATGCACTGGTTTAATAGGATCCAGTCTAAGGTTTTGACAGTGCTACAGGGCAGGTGAGTAAGCAGAGTGTCCTCCTATCTCACAGCCCAGGGCTGGAGGACCTTGTCTAGGTCTTCAGATTTGTGATCATCTTCAGCATAATCCATGGAGTTGCTAAGACTGGTGTAACACAATTATTTCGGTCTGAACACTGTTACTAAGGGTGACAGCATGATGGCAGACCCGGGCACCCGGAATGGGAGCCCTGAGTGTTCACTGGTGGCTGTCACTCTCTAACCAGGCAGCATATGAAACTTACTGGCTGAACTTTGAAAATATGTCCATCAAATAGGAAGGAAGACGCATGATGATCAACATAGTTATTGCTGATCAAAGCTGAGCATGTACATGGATATTTGGAAAAGGCTAAGCATTGGTGTTTTGGTTTGTTTTTCTGGCTGGCTACTGTAAGCAAAAGAACTGATGCTTTTGAACTTTGGTGTCGGAGAAGACTGTTGAGAGTCCCTTGGACCTCAAGGAGATCAAACCAGTCCATCCTAAAGGAGATCAGTACTGAATATTCATTGGAAGGACTGATGCTGAAGCTGGAGCTCTAATATTTTGGCCACCTGATGCAAAGAGCTGAGTCATTAGAAAAGACCCCAATGCTGGGAAAGGTTGGAGGCAGGAGGAGAAGGGGACGACAGAGGATGAGATTGTTGGATAGCATCACTGACTCAATGGACATGAGTTTGAGCAAGCTCTGGGAGTTGGCGATGGACAGGGAGGCCTGGCGTGCTGCAGTCCCTGGGGCTGCAGTCAGACATCACTGAGCGACTGAACTGACTGACTGTAAGCAACTTTGCCTGTAAGTCTTTAGGAGAAATCTGATAGTGTTTACAGCCATTAAGTATTATAATAAAGAGATTCAAAGTCTAACGGACACCAAAGCCTACTGTGTGACTGTACACAGCAGGCAAACAACTAGGAACCCTGGATCACTGGACACCATGACAGCTGAAGATGCAAACGCTGGCTTTTACAGCTTGGTAAGAACACTGCAGAACGTCCCTCCTACAGGCAGTGAGAGCTGAGGGTGGTGTCTACACCTGCAGAGTCTGGTGGACTCTTCAGAGACTGCTTCTTATTCATTCTGAGCCTCACGTGGTTACGCGACACGGTCCAAGGGATAAATCTGAAATGG